GATTGTTCCACATATGTCAGATGGGCAGGCTTCCTTGTCGCGCAATAGTCAACGAGATTACATATGTGGTTAAAAAGTCAAGAGTTGTCAAAGTCAGACCGGGCACGAATGCGTTGACCAAGGGAAGAGGGTCGCGTATGTCGCGTTACACCTCCCATTTGAGGACCTCTTATTCGATGAGAGCGATGGTTAGAGACAACCACCAGTGATGTGGCTGAGTGATGCTCGTGCATCTATCGTTTTTTCCTAAACGTTTTGTCATCCTGATTTCTGTACTTTTGCCTTGGTACTACTCTAGGCATTCTACGTCTTCTGTCTATCCTCCTTCATCCAACAAGGACTCCGAAAGATAGCAACTGAAACTTCTACAGGACTGCCGCAGGTCGATGGTTGTGTCAAATGAAGACTCAAAGTGATTAAAATGTGAGCACTAGTTTAAAGTGGTAAGCGGAATACTGTTGATTATGAGAATACGAGAACATGTACTGTAATAATCAGAACTGAATTGGCTTCAACCCGAAACGCGGACACCAAAGAAGTACACGGAGAATTGGTAGCAGCAAGTGCTAATATTTATTGACAGAAATAGAGCATGCTTTATAGAAAGTAATAAACCACGTCATTGGTTGATGGACCGTAGTCCAATCAAGCAATCGTTTGTGCAGTCGCATCGCATTTACTAACCCTAATACAATGTTTGCCTGCTGTACCATTGATCCCAAGTCCTGAACTTTGATTGGATGCCATGAAGCTGTACTGGGTCGTACTTGGAATGCGGTCACGCACGTCTGGATCACCACATTTTGCTAATAATGAATAAAGGCCACAAAAAACCGAGACCTGCATTTGAATCCCAATGAAATAAAAAAAACAAACGTATGTTCAGTCAGTATGCCCGTGTGCTCAAGTGTTGAGTGTCGGCTGTGTTGATCACGGTTAAGAACTTTGATACAAATTTTTACAGGATTCGAGAATCGAGTCCCTCGTGGGACACACGAGTAAGTTGCATTACACTTGATTCCCGGGAGGAACAAGCAGATGACCACTACTCTTGGTTGGTCTTCACAAATTATCCTTGACAAATATGAAAGCATTCAACAACTGTTCAGCCGAAAAATCGCACTGGTTCTGCTTTAAATGAGTGATTACAGGGGGACAAATTGTGCAGGTCTGTGTGGTGGGATGTTAGTTCCATATTAGCAATTTGAGTTTGTCAAAGACATCGACTTCAGGTTGGTGAACGCATATGATACCCATGACTGATCATCTTCGGCTTCCGGTGTGTAACATTTTACATAGTTGTCGTCACGGATTCAAATTTCGCTTTTCGTTCACTCATTCAAAACAGAGGGTGAGTAACTTGGGTTCACGAGAGAGCGAGAGTTGTGACGCATCGTGACCACAGAGGCAAAGAAACGATGCAACACAGTCTCAGAACGGTCAATGAGAATCTGATGATCTTGACCAATTGCAGTCCAACAGCGGACGTGTGACTCTAGAAAAATATAAGAATTACGATTAGTTAATGCTATTTAGTCAATGAAATCCGATTTTATAAAGCGTATTTGGTCGCAATCACTTTTTGCAATGAAATAATAACTTTGACTCTTTTCCCGCCTTTCGATATCTGAAAGTTTCGCCAAACGATTGCTTGTACCATTTCATATTTCGATAACGATTGTGGTTTCGATTCCTGATTTCCGTCTATTACGATTACCACACACAACTCAGAAAGGCACAGCGTTATTGGTTTGGAGAGATGCACTGAAAACACTTGGGGCCAGCCACCTAGTTTTACCTATCAAATTAAATCGACATATTGTCAAAGTAAATTGATAATCTCTCAATTATACATGATTGGTTGTCGAATCATTCTTATACAGTCTGATACAGTCTTTTCAGGGCTATAAGTTAGTTGGACGGCCTGGGAGTAATAGGTAACAATGTTGTCTGAAACTATGATCAAGCGATTAACTTCTTCAACATATGGCCTTGGAGGACGTGCTTTCGATTCTCACCAACACCGCCCAACTTCCCAATTATCTAAGCACTCCAGGCCTTTGCTTCGCCGCTTCCCACTTCTGGAATGAATGTTTGAATCACTATGTGTTTAATAAAACGAAGATACTTGTGAGTGGTTATTTATACCCGATGGAAAGATTTGTGTTGACAAGAAAAGAGAGCACCGCAAAGCTATTTCATCCTGTTTCGGGACTCATCAGCAGTTCGTATTTGTTGTGCCCTATCCGGACTCGGACCGCGAACCTTCGAGTCGGGACTTCAAACCCTGAGCTGCACAGTCAACAGTCATCACCTTGTGAGAATGGTCTAAGCAATCTCCCAACGAATGAAGCCTACAGCCAAGACCATCAACGGTGCCTGGTGTCTGTGAACAATCAAATAGGTTATTCCAAATTTGCTGCTCTCAAATCTATTTACTCTCCTCAATGTATTACTTTAGAGCAGTAGTAATACATGTTAACAAACGCCAAATGGTGACCCGCAAGGACTCCAACTAAAAACTCTCATTCAGTTTTTGCAATACTGGCTCACCTCAAGCGCATATTGTACTCCATCTAACAGGTGCTCTGAACCTTTTGAGTTCTCGGGTCCAAAATGGAACTCCATTCGTTGCACACAATAATCTCCCGGGGTTTCATTGTGCAGGGACAAACGCCACAGATCTGGTGACGGGACGATTCGTACTGAAGCCAAAATGGTCGACAGTCGGAGTGATCGGAACGGAGAGAGATATACAATGTTCTTAGCAAATGCTGAGATCAATTAACAAATCAATGATTTTATTGGGTGTTTAATCTGACGGGTCAAATTAGTTTGGTTTTTCGTTCGCTCAGCCAACAAGATCATTCGATTTTTTGATGCGATGAATGAAGAGGACAATGAGCGGCAAATATAAAGTAACGAGAAATGCATTTGTAGTAGGAAAAAACTCTCACAGTTGGTGTTTCTGTCTTTGTTTCTAATGATAATGGTTATTATTGATTACCACAAAAACAGCATAATAAATATAGGTGTTAAGGAAGGTCAACGGACGTATCATTTCCGTCCATGCGAATCACACGTGGAAAATTATTGCATGTATACTTCACGAGATCTGGGCAGAAAAGCTTTACCGGTTCTTTCAGATTTCGATCAGTAATTTGCTTGTGGTTAACGGAGAATTTATGACTCTACATGGCCGCTTCTAGCGCAGTCAGCATTTACACGGTTCCTTTGGAACTTCCTAATGTAAGCCGAAGAACCAAGTGTTTGTGCTACTGCTTCTGGAAGATACCACCCAACTGGAGTCCAAACCTTGCACCGAGGTGACTGGTTTGGGGTGGGGTGGGGACGAATTTGTTTTGTCAATAATGAAACATTGGTGAAATACTTTTCAACTTGGCTCTTATGTCAAGGTTACGTGAAATACGCTCTGTTTCAGTGTCCGAATAGCAAAACTGTTAGAAAAGCGATGGACGACAATTGCAGGCACTGTGCGAGCAAATTGTCTTGATCTGCCACAAGAAACTGTTTCAGAGCACTTTGGAATGCACGGCAGTACACGTGAACGGTAAGAGGAGAGACACTCAATGGTGTTTTACAACAAAGAAAGCAAAGCAGAATTGCCGGACGATGTTTTTTGCTGGCTACGCTTCACCTCGCGAATCACCAGAAAGGCATTTTTACTGGTTATTACAGACAAACGACCATGTTCCGACCGCCATTCAACCGATTAATAACCGCAGAGGCTGGTGCCGAGATGCGCAACATGTAATGCTATATTAAGCTCGAGAAAATGGATTATACTGTTCGCGAGGTTCAGCCTTCAATTCGCAGTTGGGTCAATAAACTCGCACTGCACTGACGAGACCCAACCAAATGGAAACACATGGACAGCAGTGCTCCCTGGATTTTAGTTCACGTTTCATTTGCTCTTTAGACGACTAAAGTCACCATACAAATATGTATTCTCGGGCTGAACAGGCAGAAATGTTTAAAATTAGGGTAGTCAGTGCATTTCAACACCAGTCCCAATAATATCTTATCTGGAAAAATCGCTGAGTATGTATTAGAAAATTAACTTGGAAATAATAGTTGTTTTTGGAGATTTTTATCAAACTTATTTTTAGAGTATTCAGCTTGGATTAGCCCAATGGATTATTGAAAGGCAACATGCACTCTTGCTGACGAGTCCCAAACAGAAAGAAACAGTTGTCCAGTGCTCTTTGTCGGTTGTCAAAAATATCTCCATCGCATTTTTATCATAATATTCACATGTAACAAATGTCACCCACGGCTCTGTGTTCAAGCTACATCTGCATGGGCACTGTTCATGACTTTAGTTATTTTCTCCTAAAGCAGCTGTAAAATTTGAACCATAAAGAGCAATCTACATAAAATTTTTATGCTCACTGCGAGTATTGAGATAGGTTCAAATAAGACCACATTGATTGTTCAAGGACGGTAAACCGACCAACCGCTGGACGGTATTAGTCTCAACAATCACTAATTGTGTTAGGTGATTGCGCATTAGTAAGATGACTGCAGGAGATAAAACCAATCGTTTTCTCACAAATTTCATCAGAATTTGTTTCGGGGTGAAAACCATACCTAGTGCGTTTTCAGAGACTCAAAATAACTACTGTTCATAGGACCGAATTTTCCGAACTTCCGTTCTGATACTAAGAATGTGAATAAGCAACTACGAAGAGCGTAGGCCGTAAGTCTTGAACACAATAGATGAAAATCGTACAACTACCAAACCTGATATCTATAGGCATTTTTGGATTCTTACCACTAAAACCATTCACTAATGGTTCCCGAATCAAATAGAATTTTATTCAATCGATTATGTCTATTAAGAACCCGGGAAGACAATCGGACCAAATGGTCTTCTATCGGTTTTGTTAAGAACACGGTTGTGATGGGCTCTTGCATTCTCAAATGCATGCATACAAATTCTATCGTGTTGGAAGAATAATTCCCAACTACTATCAAACGGCCAGTTTGGAAGACTGAGCTATTCAGACTTGCACTTGGGCTCAGGATCATTTCACTACACCGGTACGCATGCGTGCGTCAGCCTAAAAGTAAACATTACTACGTATAACGGTCAGAAACTAGAGGATCTTAGGTCAAGAATGACTACAATCGGTGTCCCTAATTCACCACATTTTTATCGGAGTGAGCAACGTCAGTTGCAATACGTTTTTCCCGAAGAGATGATCATTTGGGTTCTGACCATACCGTGGCGCACCTATGCCACAAAACGATCCAAGATAGATTTTGCAAACCATTCATTTTCAAGGTAATTGCAAGGAAACTGTGGGCTTCCGTCCCGCACTTTTTAAGCGAAAAACTTTGTCAGTGTTTGAAATCTCCTACCGCATAGACTGTCTTCCTGATGCGCAGTGAAAGACCACGACCAACACCTGGGATAGGGTTTTACGAGTGCCAGAATTGAGTTCCTCACGATATCGATCAATTCTCCCTCGGATGTATTCAACAGCAGTTAATTTTTCAAGTTGTCCGAATATCAGTTCAAGAGGTCTGGCAATCATTTCAAGTTGTCTCCAATTTATCGATTCACTTTCACGATGGGAACACCAAAGGTGGTCGTTCGTAAAATGGTGAAAATGTTCGGTAAATGAGTAAGTAATAGAACATCAGAAAACCTTTTATGCATGGTATTTACGCTGACCAAACAGCGATGCTTAAGGTTTTTTGCTTGGCATTCGTGATAGTCTTCAGTTTATCAAAGCAAATTAAGGCACAACATTTCGATAGACATACCTGATCAGAGACCCTCAGATCTTCGCCACTAGTAGTCTAGGTGCAAGCGGACTACGAGGATAGCGAGTTCGTTTTGTTTTACTATGATCATTAAAGGCCGCTTAACTGTTCACTGCTCTGTCTTGTCACTGCGAATGCACTTATATTTTTATTGAATATTTTTCTACTCCCGTCAACTACAACACGCATGTATACACACTAAACCAAACCCATCGATTTTGTGTGCGTTGTGCAAACCAATGTTCTCGACTTCTATACCTAGATCATCAAATTCCATCTCGGCTGTTCGTTCCGAGCCGGCAATTTGTTTGCAAACGTTTCCGCATCACTAGCCGAGGTGAAATCATCAGTGCTTGTGAAGTGGCAGTGTTCTGCCTGTAACCTTTCGTTTATATACATGTGTTCTTCTTCACCGACTTTTCTTGTTGTCCCTTNTCCCTTGTTCTCACTGTGTTCGACTCGGCTCACCGTCAAGCTGGTACGAGGGGGTGAGGGTGGGTGATCCTTTCATCCTGATTGCGAGTTCGGTCCGTTCTCAGGTCACGGGGTGACCCATTTTGTTTCGTCATTTGATACTTTGTCAACAGCTCATCACAATTAGCCTGAGTTTGTGGAATCAGTCAGCGTTTTTCAGTGTGTTTGTTCAGTTTGCTTGATTGCTTTCAGAAAATTACTAAATCTTATTTGCTAGTGAGTTGTTATTATATAAGGGGAAATGTTTTCAAATTCACCTATACTTTAAAAAACGTTTTTGCGGAATAAAATAGTTAGTGGTTGTTGTTAATTCTTTACTTCGCTAACCTATCAAATAGTGAGTAGTAAACCATATGGTTTTATTAGAATAACGCAAAAATATAAAATTGACTCCGAGGGACTCTAAAGATGCATGGTGGTGGACAAGTGTGACTTTCGAATCTTGGAAAGTACTAGTAAGAGAAACTACAGTCGGCTCTCTGACAATCCCCTAGTGTCAACACCAGAAAATTTGTGGATATAATCAACAACACTTACTCCACTGTCCGGTATTAGTCACGAAGTAAAACCACGTGTTCAACATTCGAACAATGCGGACAGGTTTCAAATTTTCATCGATAGGAGCATTTTTTCGCACAATATCAATTGGTGATTGAAATTCCCCGGCGCACTGTTCGTAATTATGTCTCCAAGTACTCGGTCCCGTATCACTGTTTGTGTAAGACCACAACGGATCTACCGATTGCCCGGGAAGGGAAGCATAGCAATATGGTTAAACAACCTTATCAAATGAAAGTTATAATTATCTGGAGTTTAACTATATCAACATATCCGTTCACTGCAAGACGAGATTGGACTAGAATGCCTTAATTTGCAGTTCTGAAGTCTGATATGTGCTTCGGCTTTGTTGGCTAAATATCCGCTCAATTCGGACGATGTGGTGTTCATTAGTCACTCCCTCGGCAAACAGGTTAACACGTTATATGAAATTCTTCCAGTCGATTAGTTACGTTGTGGGACTCACACACAAAGCGTTCTCTTCAACAATTGAACATCGGAAAATGCCTCAGGATCGGGCAAACATCTTATTTTTTCTATCCGGAGATGCCTTTGCTCACTACTATCCGTAGGTTTATTTTAGAATAGATAGTATCTGAGTGACTGGAAATAATTTCCGCTTTGCGGCACATAACAGGGTTTTGCATTTCTTGAATCTCTTCAGGCATATTGAGCCATTCAAATAATTTCCATAGTCAGACACTCCGTTCAGGACAATTAATTCACAGTTTTGCGGTTAATAGCAGTCGGTAAAATGGTAGAGGAGTAATTGATCCAAGTGAATGGGCCTCTACTTCACTTTA